AATTATTCAAATTTTTAAAGAATATTTTAACAGTTCTAATGTTTAAAAAACCTATACCATGACATAGATGACTAATTTGATATTTTTCTCGTTGCATTCAACCTAAGCCTTTTCTTTTCCCTTTTCTCTCAATTAGGTACTTGTATTGGTCTTGCTTCATGGTAATGGAATATACTCATTTATTCATGTTATACAAGAAAAATCATTTAAATTACTATAATAATAGTGAAACTGTCATTACAAAATGGTATCAATTATTAATTATTTATAAGTTAAGAAAGCAGTAAAATTAGACATGTTTGGATTTTTAAGCAATAAATATTATTTTCTATAAAAAATTATTTCCTATACATGCTTAAACGAAATCCTAAAAATTAAAATTAACAAAACTGTAAATTAGGTAGCAGGGGGGGGGGGGGGGGTTGGCTTTTCATTAGCTTTCATTGTTTACAAATTTCACGAACATGATGAAGATATGTACTGAAAAACGTGATTGCCTACAGTTGAGGAAATTTTGAAACAAAATAGGATTGACATGGAGACAATAAGCCTAATGGCAGCAGAGGTACTCCCCAAGCTACCAAAAGGGGGCGAACTTGATGCAGATTTGGAGACACGTGGCGAAAGTATATATAGAGCTTTGATAGATAGCTTAAAGTCTGGGGAGCTGTTCAAAATGAAGCAAGACGCTGTTGATGTGGGCAGTGACATAGCCTTTGCTGTATATTTGTTGAAGAGATTTGGGAAGTCAAACAATGAGATTGAGTTGGCGGGCCAAAAGGGTGAAGGAGGAGCAATTTTTGTGCATCTGGCTCGCATACTATTTCAGCGTGGACATGATCTCCTTTCTGAGAGCATGTCCACATTGCAGTCTATGGAGTTTGACTAGGGCACCAAATTTGCAAGAGATTGCTTTCATGTCCCTACGCAACATGAATATTCCGTGGATGCTGAATCTGAAAACCAATATCTCTCTTGTTGTTCCCTTTTTCTTATTTCTATTTATAAAGAAATATATAAAGATGTGAAATAATCGGTGATCCAATTCTATTTGCAGACTCTGTAATGGACTGTCCAATTCTATCCTTAACTGCCAAAATTCTTGCAGTCCTCTTTTCGAATTGTTTAATTAAGAAAATTTTAAAAATATGGAAAAAATATAAAATAAAATAGTTGTATTAATCAATAATTGTAGTTCAATTGATAATAATTTAATAATATATTTTTTAAGACTGTGTAATCTATGAAGTGGTGTTGATGGTAGTTCCATTCCATGCTTATAGGATTATCTGATAAGGGTAGGATACAGGACTTAGGGCTCTTGTGTATGCGGTCCCCAAGTATCTTGATTCCTTTCTTCAACCCTTCAACTAGATCAGCTTGTCCCATGTAAAACAAACAATGACTTCAAGTGCCGTGCATTTTTCGTAGGATGTCATGCATCTTAAGGAGAAGACACGAGTTGCGACTGAGGAGGATGTAACAATGGCCAAGCAATCGATGTGTCTGAGGGAGAAAACCAGAGAGCCATTGCTTGTTTGAGAAGTCTTTGGTGTGGTCCATTGAGACTAGTAACTAAGACAAAGTTAGTTGCTCATTCTTGGGTCAATTTCACAGAAAGATAAGCTCTATTAGATGAGGGGCAAATGATATAAGGTCTTTGCATTGGTAGAGATTGTAACAGTGATGAAGAGTTACAAGTTAAAGGATGCGAATTTAATGGTGCATTTGGTGGAATAGTCACAAGAGAGCAGCACAGCTTGGGGCTGTTAGGTGTGTCATTAGGGTCAACAAGATCATCATCGTTATAGTGTGCACAGCGCAGAAGAAAATGACAATTTTTAGTATAAAGAATAATTCTTTTAAATAATCTCAACAAATACTGATTAAAAATGGAAGAGAGTGATAAGGAAAACTGTTTAATTTACATATAATAATAGAAATTAATTTGAAAATAAATATATATATATATATAAAATTAATTTGTAAGTGAAAGTCAAGTATAAAAAAAATATTATTTAAATTAAATTTATTATTTACAGAGTTATTAATCAGAATAATAACATAAAAATAGTTGTAACACTAAGTAAGAGTGGAGTTATTTTATTTAATAACACTTATAAACATTAAATTCTGTTAATTTCGACAGTCAAAATAAAATATTTTTTAAAATAGATTAACTTTTAAAAATTATAAAAATAATAATTAATGAATAATATAGAAAAATAGAAAATTAATTAATAATTATTAAAAATGGTGTTCACACTCTGACTACCCGTAACAACCATGTGCAGCCAACGTGTTTCATTTTAACACTTGAATAATATTGACATTGACAGCTAATCCACTAAATTTGACTAACTTTATTAGTTCTCCTAAGAGATTTTGGCTTCTTTTTTTTTTTCTCTATATGTAACATGAGTTATATAAAAGTCGTCAATGACGGTTTTTTCATCAAAAATATTAAAAATTTATTAATGTCAATGTTAAAAATAATAATACTTTATTCATAGAAAAAATTATTATTAGTGACTTTTGATGTTATAATTAAAAAATATATGTATAAAGTTAGTAGTGATTTTTGGAAGTAAAAAAAAAAAAATCATCATTGATAATTTTTAAATAATATTAATTAATTTAAAAATTTTAAAAGTTGTTATTGGTGATTTTAAAAATATTTGTCTATAAATATCGAATTCTTCTTTTATTGAAGTTGTAAGTGAGTAAATATATATATAAAGAGATCATTATAGTGAAAAAAATAAGTGTACTTCTGTTGATATATTTTAATGGCGAGATTATTACTAATACTTTTGAAGGTGTGTTATTTCAAATTTTATTCACCTTTCTTCAACTTTACACTCGACTATTCTTTTTTCTTCTCTAAGATCCTTCTTCAGAACCCTCTTTCTTCCTCACATGGTTTCACTCTAAAGAACTATTAGTGATTTTTTACATCTTAAAAATGCCTGATAAGCGTGACCAACTATAGTGATGAGTAAAACAGACCTCTCACAGTCAAAAATTGCCAATAGTAATTTTTCAGAATTCAAAGATATTTGACAAGCGTGACTAACTACAGTGGCAACTAGAGCAAACTTTCTCAAGTCAAAGATCGCCAATGGCAATTTTTCAGAATCTTCAGACTCCATTCATGTTATTTACGTTGTTACATAAGTGTTACAGGTCATTCATTCTGACACCATTAATGTCATTCAAAGGTGGTGACTTCTTCTAGCATCCTAAGAGCTCAAAATCAGGCCATTCAACTCTGTAACTTACATATTTTTTTCTGTTTCATAGAAAAATCACTAATAGCATTTTGTAGAATACCATATTCATGCATTTTTGTAAAAAATATTATATTTTATATATTTTATTTATGTGTTACCGTATTTAATTCATCCAAGAAATTTTATCCATTAAAATGTAATTTTATCCTATTTTAAGATATGATCCACTTGCAAAGGGGAGTTTTGTCAACTGGCTTACCAATCGTATTCCCATGAGTTATTCATAGTTTAGTATTAGGAGAGTGAGATGGAATTTCATTCATCTAATTTATTTAAAGAATAGAGACAATACTTTAGAGTGACATGCAACTTGAGAATATACAAAACATCAAATTAAATATAGATTTTTATTTTTTTATCGTGGACTCAACTTTTCAATTAAATAGAATGACCCTACGGAAGTCAAGTAGTTGCTAAACTATTAAAAAACTCACTGTACATTTTTATGAAACTAATATAATATGAATATTTCTTTAGGTGCGTTTATTGTGTACTGACCCGTTCATTTTTTGTTTTGATATATTTGCTATTTCTATGATTTTTTCTTGCAAATTTAGAGAAATTTTAATTATTTTCTATAAAATTTAGGGTTATTCATAATTCAGTATTAGGAGAGCGAGATGGAATTTCATTCATCTAATTTATTTAAGGAATAGAGACAATACTTTAGAGTGACATGCAACTTGAGAATATACAAAACATCAAATTGAATATACATTTATTTTTTTATCATGGACTCAGCTTTTCAATTAAAGAATGACCCTAGGAAGTAAGTTGTTGCTAAACTATTAAAAAACTCATTGTCCACTTTTATGAAACAATAATATAATATGAATACTTCTTTAGGTGCGTTTATTGTACACTGACCAGTTCATTTTTTGTTTTGATACATTTGCTGTTTTGTTTTGAGTATACGTGATCTTATCTTACGTTTTATGTACATTTACTTTCAAATTTATTTAATGTTACAACAATTTAAAATTTAAAATTGAGTTGTTCTTTCTTTATTTTTTATTTCACTTCTTAATCTTTAATTCAAAATAAGTTAGGTTGACCTGTTTAAAGCCTAGCATGATATATCCTAGTCAAATAATTAACTTAAATTTAAATTTTTAAAATATTTAATTAATTAAATAAGTTAAGTTTAAGTAAAAATTTATTAAGTTTGTTTAGAATTATCTATTTAAGACTCATAAATTTTATAATTTTTATATATAAATTATAATATATTTATAATATTATATTAAATAAAATTAATATTAAAATGATATGAATACGTGATAAATAGGTAGAATTAGTTTTATTACAAATATTAGGGGGATGATAACCTTTTATTACAAATATTAAAATAATCTTATTTGTTTAACTTTTACAGACACACACTGGTATAATGCCTTTTAAGCACAACCACCGCTATTGACTCACTGTGATATATGGTAAACGATAATTCAATGAAAAAATTGTAGTTAATAGCATTAAAGTAATCTTATTCACGGTAAGCGAATAATAGAAGAAAACTAAAGAAATCATTAAAAAAAACACCAGACAGCTTGTTGTTTTCTAAATTCTTATTTTAAGACAGATGCGTAGCATTAGGCTAACAGTGGGTACTTAGCAAATCTCAAATAATTTGCGTTTTCCAGTTACGAGCACTTTCAGTACCCACTACGTGTTTTAGCCAGATCCAACAAATTTTGTTAATCGAGAATGCAATCCAGAGTGAAGATGCAACCCGAATCTGACTCTAATTGGATGGTTCCCATCGAAGTGATGCTGGGTTCCCTCAACCACGCAGAAGTGCAAGCGTGCAGCATTTCAATAGTTGCAGACGAGCTTCGAGCCCCCAAGGAGGACGCTTTCAAGCCGAAGGTGGTTTCAATAGGACCCTTGCACAGAGGAACCACAAGACACATCCAATTAACGGAAGAGACCAAATGGCGTTACATGCGCGAGTTCCTCGACCGTAAAGGAAACCAAGAACAAAACAGAAGATCAGAGTTAAGGTTGAAAGATTGCGGCACGGAAATTCTAAATTTGTGTAAAATAATCAACGCAAGCTATGGGGGTAACATCGAATCAGAACCCCACGAATTGGCCAAAATAATGATAGTCGATGGCTGCTTTCTGTTAGAGTTTCTCCACAGACTTGGCGATTATATGATAAAATTGGCGGAGGGCCAGAGAGAAAGTTATTCTGACGACCCAATTTTCCAAGGCCACAAAAATGTGTTATCTGTTCTCAACGATATCACAATGCTTGAGAACCAAATACCCTTAATTGTTCTCAAGAAATTATATAGGAAGGTCTTCCCAGACAAGAGTGACATCAACAACGATCACCGTGTTGCTAATATTGTGCGTGAAGCCTTCGGTTATCCTGCGACGGAGAGCTCCGGAGGGGCTCATATCCTTAACTTGATCCACTTGACCACAGTTCAACAAGATAAGGATTCGAGAAAAGGGGCGAAGCAAGAGCTAGAGCGTTGTGCAACGAGGCTTCGAGCCGCGGGAATAACCATCGAAGCAATAGCAACTTCGCAGCGTGAGTTAGTCGACAGGTTCACCTTCGACATAACTTTCAAGGATGGTGTGTTGAAAATCCCAGCGCTTTATGTTAAGCAAACGACGGAAGTTAAGTGGAGGAATTTGATTGCGTGGGAGCAGAGTAAAATTAGTATCAGGTGTACATACACATCGTATGCTCTGTTTTTCAAGGGTTTGATATGTTGTAAGCATGACATTGAGTTGCTTGAGGAGATGGGGGTTATAGTCAACGAATCAAAGAAGAAAACGGAGGTTTTGTTGAAACTGTTTCGCACGATTTCCAAGGGAGCTGAGCATATGGATTCGAGTTATAGCAAGCTTTGTGCAGATCTGAATGAGTATCAGAGGGGGAAGGTGACAACAGTGTTGCAAGCAATGCCTATAATAACTTGGCATAACTGCAGACACGTTTGTCAGATCATTTGGTTCTATTGGAGAAACTGGTACAAAATTTTGATAACAGATCATATACCTACGGTGTGGAAATTCATTGGAGTAGTGGCAGCTATTGCGCTTCTTGTTCTCACTATTATGCAGACATATTACTCGTCCCGCAGTGCTGGCTAATTTTCTGTTTTCTTTTCTTGTAGCAGCTCTGTCGAGTGCATCTGTTAATCTGTCAAAATAAAAGGACCCCAAAATACTGGGGAGAGATGTAAAAGTGTGTGCGTGTTAGCTTTTAAAAATCTTGTTTTTATTGTTGTAAGAATAAATAATATTTTCCATAAACTTGCCAAACCCCTTTATACCCGAATTTGGTAAGTAAATAGATGAAATTAATATAGATGCGGTTTAGTTTGGTTTTAAATATAAAAATTAAAATCTTAGTTGAAATAAATAAATAAATAAATAAGTGTGATTTTTTCTATTTTTGATAGTTTTAGTAAATTTTGGAAATACTCCCACTAAAAATGTGAGGCATTGAGCTCTCCCTAGTTACATTCACTTGAGAAAAAAAAAAAAGAAGAAAATTTGATATTATAAAATAGATTGTTTACACTCTCAGAGGGAAGATATATTAAAAGGAGTATAGATACGATGAATAGCACAGTAATAAAAAAAGATTTGAGAGGATCACATAAGTAAATAATAATAATAATAATAATAATAATAATAATAAATGAGTTAAAAATTAAAATTATATTAATTTGAACTTGCTCGTAACCAATGAGAGACTCTTGCATATGAAAAATTAGTTATGTTATTGAGTCTTTACAAGAATTTATTTTCCTGCATTAATTGAGTAGTTTCTTCAATTCTTCTCTTGATCCTCGTGTGCTGGTAGACTTTTGTGGCGATATTTGTTTTTTCACTGTATTCTTGAATTTAACAGTGTGATACAGTAAAATGAGTTGATCTTGTATACTCATTAGAAAACTAATTAAACTGATCCATCTCTTGCTTATATTATACACTTCTTCATGCCCAATTTTAACACTCCAAACCTAACCTTGCATTTAAGTGTAATACTACCATTTCTTACATGCCTACTACAAGTCTATATTTTGTAGTGTTTGTATTTTATTTTTATTTAATAATAAATTTATATTAATTTTATTATTATTTGTTGTAATTTAATATAAAAAATTTATCAATAAATTGAAAAAATATTTTAATCATAATTAAAATTTTTTTATAGAAAGTAGAGTCATAAACAATATATAAAAAATATATCATTAATTAAACACTAGTATATGAGTATTTTGTAATCATGCACGATTATGCTGGCTTTTTCTGTAGTGTAATTAATTTAGAGATTTTTAAGAGGTTTGTAAGAGAATTTAAAATTTAAAATTAATAATAAAAGATCTTATATTTCTATATTAATAAGTCATATTTTTATTAAAAATAAAACATGGATTTGAACGAGTGATCGATAGAAGTTTTTAGGGTCAAGAATATTTTTTTTCTCTTTTTTTTTAGGATCCTTTAATTTTCCTTCCTTTTTGAATAAATATAGATTTTTTTATAATTGTTTGTTAGATTTTCTAATATTAATATTAATATTTATATTAATTTGTGAATTAGCATTATTAAATTATTATAATTATATTATTATTAAATATGACATAAAATAAATATGTATAATTATTATTTATTATATATTTTAGATTAATTTTTTAAATACTCTCATTAAAAATTTGTGAGACATTGAACTCTCTTCGGTTACATTCATTTGAAAAAAAAATGATAATTTGATATAATAATATTGATTATTTACACTAAAGGAGGAAGATATATTAAAAAGAGAATAAGTATGAAGAATAGCATAATAATAAAAAATATTTATGAGGGGAGCATATTAGTAAAGATAAATAAATGAATTAAAAGTTAAAATTATATTAATTTAAACTTTTTCGTAACTAGTGAGAGACTCTTGTATAAGAAAAACTAGTTATGTTATTGAATTTTTTAAGAATTTATTTTCTTGTATTAATTGAGTAGCTTCTTCAAGTTTTTTCTTGATTATCTTCTCTTGTTAGATTGTTAATCCATTATGTAGTTTCTATTTGATATAACTATTATGAAATTATCATTCTCATTCAATCTTGAATTACGTGGTTTTCACAACACAATATATGATTCTCACACAATTAAGGATTTAGAGAGCATTAACTTGAATCTATTGATCCTTGATGTTACCTCTCTCTCTCCTGATGTTGTTGAGTCCTTTTTATTTTTTCCAACTCTTCTTTCTTCTCTTAGCTCCTCTTGGATAGTTGAGAGAAAGTTTGTGAAAGTAATAGTCTCAATAACAAATGTCGTAACTTCTATTTTGGTAACTACTCTTTTATTTGTTGAGAAGAGAGAGAAGGGTTTCCTTATAATTGTATTTATAATTATACCCTCAATGACTCTATATTTTATATTTAATCATCATCACATTAAATTATTAATTAGAGTCATGATATAAGTTACATAGGTCACTATAATAAGATTATTAAAATAATCTAACATTCTTACAAGACTTTTGTGGTTAATTTTTTTTCACTACATTCTAGAACTTAAAAGTGTTCTACAATCCTAATCTCAAAGTGTGATTCAGTAAGATGAGTTGATCTTATATATGATAAATGTATAAATTGAGTAGTTTTAGGTGATATTTTGGGATACTTTACGTTGAAGTGTTGAATATTTTATTCAATTCTCCCTAAACTTGGAATTTTTGCAAGTACTTGAATGGAATTTTAAATGTTTTGACTTTTATTTAATGTATTTTATAGTTGAATCAAAGGTAGAACATCTCAGAAGTTGAAGAACTTTGAAGACAAAGCAAATATTTGAAACCTAAAGATGATCGGCCTCTAATGGTTCCTTACTATAGCGAGGATTCATTTTGAAAAAAAGTTAGTTCTGTGATATTCTCGCTACAAAGAAAAACCTATCACTTTAGTGAGAGTGTCTTCTCTCACAATAGCGAGACATATGTCATTGCGGCGAAAGGCAAGTAGAATGACTTAATTTTTACTTTCAGTTCTTGTTACATTGAGAGTATAACGCTGTAGCGAGAATAGCTTCATCCAGACACATATAAAAGGGACAAGTGGTGTTCTTCAGGAAATTACTATTTAATAAGAGTTTCAAAGAGAGAGAAGTGGCAGAACATATAGAAAAGGAGTGGGAACACTCATATTTGAGTTTTAGAAGTTGTTTTTACTTGATGTTATAGATGCAATGAGCAGCTAAACTCGTATGATTGAATGTAAATCTTTAAACTTGATGTATTCTTGATGATTCATATATATATATATATATATATAATTTTTTATTTTTCATTTCATTGATTTGGTGATTTCAATCTGTGTCTGAATTTATTTACTGGTAGCTTCTTGAGTTCATATCTGAGTAAAATCAAGAAATGTATTGCTCAGATTAAGTTCTGATTGAGATTACTCAGTAAATAGTTATTTTAGGAATATATTTAATTTAAGTTATTGATTGCTTTAAATTTTGATTTTAACGCTAGATGGTTTATTAAATTGCTTGAAGAATCAACATTTGATAAATTATTTTAGAAATATATTTTCAAGAAATTGGAATATATAACTTTTATATTTTACAACAATATCAATGGAAATCATTATATATATATATATATATGAATCATTGAAATACAAAAAGGGAGATAGATGAAATTCAATCACAGTTTCTCTTATTTTATTTTAACCATATTTTAGATCCTTTTCATAAATTATAATTTTTATACAACTCGAATGAAAATCATCACTCAATCTCTTTGTATATACACCCAATTGATTTAGATCTTAATAATTAATGCAATTTGTTTTGTTCTCCGATTATGATATCCTCGTATCTTACCGGTTATTACTTGCAAACTATGCAATACACTTGTCACGCATTAAAGAAAAATTCTCAACAATATACTCATTAAATCCTAATTAAACTGATTCATCTCTTGCTTATATTCAATTTAATTTCTTCCTAATCTAATCTTTTCAAGTTATGCAAAAATATGGTGTACAATTTCATTGTCACTTAACCTAATTAAAAGCAAATTTTACTTTTTGAGTTAAAAAAGTGAATCTACTTTCTATAGAAATAAAAGGATTTGGATCTTTTCCTGTTGTGGCTGGAACTGAACGAGTTCCATTTTCGTTTAAGCAAAAATAGAGAAAACAATAATTTTTTTTTTTTTGCAAAACTAGCTTAAGTGAATTTTGTTGGCTTAAGCGAATTTTGTATTTTCTCTTCTATGCCTAAAACTATCTCTTCAATCTTCATATTCAACTCTTCTTCTCCTTTCATATCAAACTTCTCTCTTTCCTCCGCCTCATACCCAACTTCTCTTTTTCCTCCATCCCATACTTAATTCTTCTTTTCCTCTTCTCACCATCACCTCATCCTACTTCCATATCCGTCTTTCCCTTTTTTCTCCATACCTAACTCCTTCACCTTCCTCTCTTTCCACCACTACCCTTATATCACCCGCTCTCCCCATCTCCACCCATCCACAGTCCCCTCCTCTCCACACCCAATCTCCTTTTTCTCAAATGCACAAAATTTGTTTAAGTTAAAAAATTTGTTTAAGCTAATTTTGTATAATTTTTTTTATTTTCTTCATTTTCATTTAAGCAAGTCCATTTTTGCTTAAACAAAAATGAAACTGAACATCTAGTTTCTACCATAATAAGAATTCGGATCTAAAATAAAGAGAGTAAAGACTAGTATCAATGTCACCCTGTAACCTTAGCTTAAGCGGACACCATATCTCTCCCATATAATGCAAATTCTATTCTTCTTACTCTTCCTACATTTATACACTTCTTGATGCCCAATTTGAATACTCCAAACCTAACCTCTCTCTCATTTATGTATAATACTACCACTTCTCTTGCAATTTATTTTTGTAGATTATTTTTTATATTTATTTTATAATCTAATTTATTTTTATTCTATTTTAATAGAAAAATTTAAAAAAATTGAATTATCTTCTTAACATTAATTTTAGGAAAGGATAATAGAATTAATAGGAAACGATTAACAGGCATGTCATATAATATTAATATATTAGATAAATTTTGTTGGTGAAAAATTTTGATTTTAAA